CGTGCTGTGTCTGGATGCTCCCATCTCCCGGTAGCCTAGACATGGCCTCCCTAACCCCACACACACATAGTTGCTTACACATACCTGGGCCACAGTCCTTGAACAACCTCTTTTCGGTAAACTGACAGTCAAGTGACGGGATGCACAGGAGACTGATCTAGCTGCTGAGTGGGATGTGTCTCCTGCCCTGAGCACACACTGGAGACGAACAGTATGAAGTTATATTTGAGTGAGGTCAATTTTAATTCTCATCCACTAATGGACACAGTGCTATTGCCTCCTGTCCAGGAAGATTAATAATTAAAGTGTACAAGAATGGAGATTAAACAGCCAGAGAAATTTCAGTAGCAACATGACATTGACGAGATGTTTGTACTGCATTTAATAAAAATATATTTGTAACAGATTGGAGGAGAAACACTAAGTTCTTCAGTACAGATAGCTTGAGAAGCTGGTGTGTAAATTACCATAAATTGGATATCTTTCATAGGAACATTTTTGTACTCATATTCCCCCCTTCTATCATATAAGCAATCCAGAAAGTGTTTCATTTTAAATCTCATCTCATTTTATTCATTGTGAGAATAACTTGGAAATACAAAGTTGTTTTTTTTTTTAATAGTCTGTACATCTGGCCCAAGTTAGTTACTGCTTACCTGCTTACATGTTAATGTATTTCTCTTATCCTTTTACTGTCTTCATATGTGTACGTTTTTCTTACATTAGTGGAACATCGAATACATAATCTTTATGTATCATAAATATTATCTGTAGTCCTCTATTACTAGCATTTTTTTAAAAAGATTTATTTATGCATATAGAACTGGGGTACAGACCAGAGGCTCAGGGGCGGTGAGAGGCTTCACCAGAGACAGAGTGGGGAACAGAACAGGCAGATTGACGAAGTACACTGCTGAGGGGAGCAGCGGGTGAGTCAGGAGAGGTCTGCCACGCCATGTGGTCACCTCCGGGGCAGGTGGGAATCGAACTCATGTGGAAGTGGTTTCAGCTTCTTAGTGCAGTGCTTTAACCCGCTGCGCCACCAGGGAGGACCTACTAGCATTTTTTTATGCCCTTCTTTGCCTTGGAAACTTTTGTGAAAACATCTTTGATCTTATCTCTGAACAGATCCAGAAGTAAAAGTACTAGGTCAAAAAGTTGTGACTATTCTAAAGTTTTGATAAATTGCCCTTTTGAAACATTCAACCAAATTCCAGATCCTTCCAGCACTAGATACAGATCACTACCCTCAATGTTCTCAGGACTAGTCCTGTCAGGGTACAGAGATGGTTGACAAAGACAGGGGCAACAAGAATGAGTGGGCCACTTGGATGGAAGACGAGTGTAGTAAAAATCATATTCTGGGCATGGAAAATGGTCTGTTGGTTGAAGTAAACACTGTCAAGCAAAGCCTTTGAAGAGTTGAGTTGGAATCCAACTTGATGGGGCCCTGAAAGCCCAGTTAGAACAGAAGTGGGAGACCACCAGCAGAGTTTGAGCAGGAAGGTGAGAGCCCCAGGATTCGCTCTAGATTCTATGCCTCTTTCAAGCTCATGCCTTTGAATCTTTCCCTCTGCCCAAACACTGTTTTCCACAATCTGTCAAAACTCCACCTGCTTACATACTTTCTGCTCTATGACAGCACTTACTGATATGACAGTTCCTATTACCGCTCACCTAATAAAGAGTAGGAATTAATAATGCACTTTTACCAAAGGAATCCCAGGTACTGTGTGTGTCTCATGCACTTGCACAAGTGTTCCTTGGTCAGAAGATAAATGTTGCAGCAGAAAGAGATATTATCTGTCTTGGCTAATTCTTTATTTCAGAGCCAGAGCCAGAGGTTCAAAGCCAGAACCTCACTGGGTCTGAAGGGCTCCATGGTGGATACCTTGCTCTTAATCTTTCCCCTTCCTTCTTGTCACAAAGCCTTTCAGTTGCTAGCTTTCAGAGACCTCTTTTTCTTAAAGTGAATAAAGGGCTTGACTTAGAAGTATTTGCCAACCATACTTATTTATGAGCACTTTTATGTGTGTTTATCTATATTTGCCTCACTAATTTCAAAATCAAGAAATTGGTGCCATATTTTAGAGTTTTCTTATTTGGAGGCGATACCATAAATTGTTGAGTTTTGCTTTTTAAATTTAACTAAAAAGCAGAGTTCAAAGAATACACTCATCCTTCCTATGCAGAATTAATCATTATTAAATATTTATACACTTGCTTTTAGTCTCTCTTCTGTGTGTATACTTTAATTTTAAATTGTATTTTTTATGGTAATGCTGGTTTAGAACACTGCATATGGCTCAAGAGCAATAATATAGTTTTATTTTCAAAAGTATATGTAATATACACACACATTGTTTTAAAAAAAGTTAAAATCTTAAGTAAACTAAAGTTAATTTCATTCCTATTCCCATTTAAAAAATTTTTAAAGTCCTTTGTTTGATTGAAATATTATGTAAAAGTCTAGTATTCAGCAAATATGTGACTATTCCATGACATGTGACCATGTGCTGTGATATGCTGGAGACCTGTAGTGAGTGCCTTCCCCCACAAAATACAGATTAGGATCTCCACCCTTCCTCTCCACTCTTCATCAGCCACTGCCTTTCACGTCCTGCTAGCTCCTGCCTCAAGCCTTTGCCATCACTGTGTCCTAGCCTGGCATGTTCTGGCCCATGTCTATGCATAGCTGGCTCTTGTCATCATTAAGAGAAGAAATCATTTTCCCAGGGAGACCCCCGATTCTCCCTTCCACTGTTTACTTTTCATGCTCCAGTCACACCCTCCCTTTGTCCGATGTCATGTTCTTCATGGTAGTAACCATTATTTAGAGACCGTTGGAGGCTGTTAATGGCCTTTGTATGTTCTGTAATTGTAGTGAGCGGCCAAGGAAGTTTTTATAAAGTAAGATTGAATATAATACTTCAATATCCAAAATGGGTAAATGCAAGCACAGCTGAAATTGAAGCTAGAGTGAGAGCTCCTATCTCTTTCTCCTCTCTTTTGTCATAGTTGGCATACTTTAAACATTAAGGTTTTCTAACAGGTAGCTCAAGTGTGAAGAGCCAGGGACTCCTCATCTCCACTGTATTCACACAATTAGAAGTAATCACACAATTAGAAAGTTCTTCTAGTGTCTCCATATTATTGCTACCCTTTGGTTTTAAGTTCCTTTTGCAGGGGTCACAGCTCTGGTTCTGTTTCTAGATTGGCAGCCAGAAATCAGTCCAGTGACAGCTCGGGCCTCTGCCTCCCCTTAGGCGTGACCTGCAGTAGCACTCGCCCTGTCTCAGCTAAGTTTGCCAGTAATTGTCGAGGCAGTGACATTCAATACACTGCTGTGATCTGTAGATCCCTCTTTGAGCCTGTTTTAGCATTGCTGCCACTTCTCCAGCAAGGTCACCTGCCCACAGCTCTAAAACATGAAAACCCAACTACATCTGTTTTCTAAATTTAGAGGTCAAGGATGCCTCTAAATGTGACGCCCTGTTGTTTGTGGCATCAACCCAGACTCTGCAGCCTGGACCATCATTCTTCACACCAGCCCACCTCTCTAGTCTGACCTCAGACTCACATCTTTGTTCCTGCTAGCTCCCTGCATAGGTGGGTTGTCTCCTCTGCCCTTTCATCTCACCACAGGTCCTTTCACAGTCCACCTTTTTTTCTTTCAACCTCATCTTTTTTTTGAAAATTGAATATCTATAAAATTTCTCTCTGAATATGCAGTCATTATTTAAAAAAAAATAAAAAATAAAAAGGATGTTCCTTTCTTGTCTTCCCCAACCCCCTCATTTCTCTGAGTTAACAATTTTGCTGCTTTTGTCTCCAGCTCTTTTGCTATACATTTACATGTAAGCATTTTTTCCTGTGACATTATTTTAAAAGACATTATGGCTTTGTGATATATAATTGACTCTTTTTCTTGACCTTATGGAAAATTTCCCAAAGGAATACAGGTAGTTGTGATTTAAAGAAAAAAAACAAGTGCAATCATTACAAGTGCATTTTTTATGGTAAACATTCAAATTCAAAAGTGTATCGAATGAAAAGGGATAGCTTTCTAGTCCTCTTATTTTGGAGGTTACTGGTTTAATGCTTTATCAACTATTCAAAAATATTTTAAAATATGTAACCCTATCATGTATAGCATATACTATCTCATAGCATCTTGAATGTTTTTCCATAGTTACATACTGTCTCATTTTTAATGTGCATGTAGTATTCTATTATGTAAACATACTATATTTAACCATCTTCCTTCCTTAATTAATTCATTTGATCTTTTTAATCTGAACATGCTTCATCCTTGTAGTTTATGTTAAGTCGCTCCTCCTTTGTTAGGAATTTAATTTATTCCACGTAACAAGCATTGACTGAATGCCTTGTGTCTTCCACTCACTGTGCAGGGCATTAGGGCCACCAGTTTGCTTGATGCATGTGCCTTTCAGCTAGCTTTGAGTTCTCACAGCCTAAGAGAAAGATAGGGCTAAAGATCTTAGAACGTGACATGAGCTGGAATGGATAGATCTGTCTTAACATGTATATTATTTATTTTACTTGGGGAAGGTAAAGGAAAAATTTAAATTTGACCTTAAAAATTAAATAAGAGCTCTCCTAAGAGAAGGTTATTCTTGCAGAGGTAGTAACAAAAAAATAAGTCCATGAGGAAGAGAGTGTGCTACACAAGAATGGCCAGTAGCCCATGAGAAGAGGCAGGGGAGCGCATTCTATGACTGTGGGGTGGGGTGGTGTGGCCTGACGTGGCTGGTATGCTGTTTGCTCAGCAGCTGTCCACAGGAAATATTGAACAACTGAATAGAAATACGTGTGCTCTCTGCCCAGAGGACTCCAAGCCTTCCTAAGATTGTCCTCTCTAAGCCCTAAAGGAGGAGGCTAATGTTGCTTTCAGCACCAGGGTTCTTTCCTGAATTGGTCTGACTTTAAAAACTGTTTTCCTTCTATACACTTAACCATCTCATATCTTCTTTTTGCAGAATTTAATCACTCCAAGAAATAGAGCAGAATTTAGCCATGGCCCCAAGGAAGAGAGGTGGACGGGGGATTTCATTCATCTTTTGCTGTTTCCGAAATAATGATCATCCCGAAATCACCTATCGACTGCGAAACGATAGCAATTTCGCCCTTCAGACCATGGAGCCAGCATTGCCCATGCCCCCTGTGGAGGAGCTGGACGTCATGTTCAGTGAACTTGTGGTGAGTCCCAGCCCTCATGCCAGTGCTGGTTGGGAGCGGGGATGTGGAGGGCTTGGTTTGGTTAGGCCCAGACTTGCCCTTCTTCATTGAAGTGGCCGCATGTGAGCCTTTTATCTGCACCTAGTTATCAGCAGTGAACCTGTGGTGAAGGGGAAAAAAGAAGGGGATTGGATTATCACAATAAAGGGCCTGGCTGGTGATTGAAGTGAAGGGCGCTAGACCTTCAGGTCTTCATATACATGAGTGGTACATCCCACGTTGCCATTCCTTTATATTAAACCTGAGTCTATAATAAATAATTCCCTCATCTGCTTCATACCTTCTGGATTTCCCCCATTGCTTCCTCCAACCCCCACTCCCACTGGATAGCATTAATGTCTTTTTAAAAATTAGTCATACCACCCCTCCTGTCCCTGATCCTTTGATGAAAGACATTATTATTTAAATACAGTGTAATTATTTAGCCTAATGACAGGATTGGAATAATAACTGTTGTGGGAAATTTTTTATGACTCTCATGCTTTTGGACCCACTCTGCTGAAGTGGGGGTCATGCATCTTGGGTAGAAGAGTTCGTCACAAGATATCAGTGCTCTCCTTAACGTGGCTGTGCAGGCATCTCCAGTGTGGTGCTTCCTTCCATTCTGTGTTTCAGAAAATGTTGTGGCATAGTTCAAAGGGCACTGATGTGGGGTGGGGAAGCCCCACAAAGCATATTCCTGCTTTGACTCATTATCTGTACAAATATGGAGAAAGCATAGCTTTGTAAGTCAGTTTTCTGGAATGTATAGAAAAAAGAATAATAAAAAAAAAATACCTCCTCCTGGTTTGGTCTTATGTTCCAGGAGAGTAACGCGTAGTGGGGAGGCACCGTGCCCCTTGGTAGGTGCTCACGAAAAGTAATGAGTCTGCCATCTTCCCATGGTCACCTCTGGCATTTTGTCATGGCTTTAAGTTCCAGTCACGCCATTTATGTCATTCCACAGATACTAGGGTTTCATCATTTTGCATGACTCTTCAGTCAGGAGTGTAATGTAGGCCATGTCACTGCCTCCAGGGGCAACATCTGCCCAGATGCCGTCACTGCAGTCTTCTAGACCTCAGTTCACCTGCAAGCTTATCTGATAGGGTAAGCCAACATGAAACCGATGTTTGGGTTCTGGTCTGCTGAGTGGATTAACAGGCCCATCACTACCCAGAATTGGTTGGAAAGAGAAGACCTGACTCTTGAAAGCAGGTCTTATAAACTTATAAAGTTGAATATTCTCAGTGTTTAAAAAATCTCTATGCTCTTCCATGTCATTTGCATTCAAAATTCTGTTCTAGGTGCTAAGGAGGTTTGAGTAGAAACTGGAAACTGCTCTCAAAAGCTGGTGATTTCTGAAGCAAAAAAGGGGCAGATTATGAAGATTTAATACCACAAAAGGGAGACGCACCGTTCAGCTGTGCACTGAACCTGGGTCAAGGTGTTGTGGGTTGTAGGGCATGTGGTGAGGCAGGTGGTCAGGGAAGACTTTCTGATGGGGTGAGTAGTGAGGAGGGATTGCTGGTGATGAGAGATGCTAATGACTGTCTCAGTCATTGTGAGCAAGTCATCCTGTGATAGCAAACCTCAGTGCGGCATGTCCACTGTGGGTCACCTGGGGTTCTGTTCTTCACCATTTTGAATCAGACTTGGAGGAAGAGCAAAGACAGACATGGTGAACTACTTACTAGCAGGCTCTAAACTTATGACACATGTCCTTTCCACCCACATTTCTTAGGTCAGTGTAAATCACATGGCCACTCCTGAGATCACAGAGTGAGGAACGATCATGCACAGGCGCTGCATGTCATATGGCCATGCTAAAGTCATTGGCGTGGGTGGAGGATACACAATTCTCTCCCTGGGAGGAGTATGGTGAATCATCTACCATTTTGACAATCAAGGAGGGCAATAATGATATATTGACAAGCTTGGATTTTATTTCTCACTTAAAGTATGTTAAAACCAAAAATCAATCTAAGGAGACATGTTGTGGATAAAGCGTCCTTCGTGGTAGCAGAGCTGCTAGGCAGAGCTAGTACTCTCCACACGGCTACACCCAGCACCCTTTCAGGGATGGTCTGTCAGCCTCCCAGACAGAGCCCTACGCGGAGCTGTGTGGTGGCAGCTCTTTGTTTGTCCTAAGACAGCTTATTGTTTTATGTTCAAAAGACAGAAAATTCTACCCTCTGTCTTATTGATGTCTTTATTCTGTGTGAAAATTGCCTACAGCTGTTAGTTGTTAAAAAACCGATGCCAAACCAGAACTTTAAGCTGAAATCATTGGGAAACAAATTATCCTGAGGTTTGTGTCCATCCTGGTTAGTGACGGATGGATTTATATCTGCTCTCAGCCTCTCTGGCACTGGCAGTGGAATCAGGGTTATTCCAGGTTCAGAACGGTGGAGGCCCCACATAACTTACCTACTTAAAGTATTTTTTTCAGTATATTCAAAATTGTGCAACTATCATTACAATAAATTTGAACATTTTCATCACCTCCCCAAAACGACTCCCATACCCACTAACTATTGTCCTCATTTCTTCTTGAACCTCCCATCCCTTAGTAACTCCCTCACGTACTCTGTTTCTGTAAATTTTCCTATTCTGGGATTTCATAGAAATTGTATCTTATGGTCCTCCCTGGTGGCGCAGCGGGTTGAAGCGCTGCACTGAGAGGCTAAAAAGCCACTTCCGCATGAGTTCGATTCCCGCCTGCCCCGGAGGAGACCACATGGTGTGGCGGGGCTCTCCTGGCCCACCCGCTGCTCCCCTCAGCAGTGTACTTCGTTGATCTGCCTGTTCTGCTCCCCACTCTGTCTCTGGTGAGGCCTCTCACCACCCCTGAGCCTCTAGCCTGTACCCCAGTTCTGTATGTACAAATAAATAAATCTTTAAAAAAAAAAAAGAAATTGTATCTTATAACAGGTAATACTTTGTGATGGGCTTTTGTCACTTAGCACAGTCTTTTCTAGGGTTCTGCCATGTTGTAGCATGTATCAGTATTTTACTTTTTTATTGTTGAATAATATTCCTTGGAATGGACATACTACATTTTGTTTATCCATTTATTGTTGTTATATATTGGGATTGTTGCCAGTCTTCAGCTATTATAAATAATATTGCTATAAACATTCATATACACTTTTTTTTATATGGAAATATATTTTCAGTCATCATGGGTATATACCTAAGAGTAGAATTTCTGGGTCATGTGGTCACGTTGTGTTTAATTTTTGAGTAACCAGCTGCACAATACTAGATTTACATTAACAGTGTATGAGGGTTCCAGTTTCTCCACATTCTTGCCAACGCTCATTATCTACTCCCTGACTGACTAACCAGTTGCTTTTAAAGCTGTTCTATGGCTTCTGGAGAACTGAGGACACATTACTCATTTGTTTGTGTGTGTTTGCGTGTGTGTGTGTGTGTGTGTGTATGTGTGATGTCAGCCAGAAAAAGTCACTCTGATAACAATTTTAAAATTATCTGGGATAGTAAATAATATTGAGGGTTTATATAATCTCTGCTGATCATATATTTTATGTCTTTTGAGCATCAATTCTATTTTCCTTTGTTATCTCCTCTCCAGTTCTGCTTTGTCCACTGCCTCAGCCACAGATCAACAATTTAACCAATCCAAGACTCAGTATTCTCACCATTAAATGACATTCATTGTAATTTTGTCTTTTCTGCAGGCTTTTAAAGGTTTTAGATGACCCCCCCACCTATTTGAAGCATCCTAGGTATGACAACACTATCAATTCTCCTTGTCCAGTAACTACTTCCACCTTAGTGAGCATAAATTTCCTTTGAGATGAGCAGCAGAATGAATTGATCACTTCTTTCAGGGTGTGTGTGTGTGTGTGTGTGTGTGTGTAGTGCCTATTTTTTGTGTCAGGCCCTGAGGTAACTGAACAAAATAGACAAGATCCTTTGTTCCACAGAAGAAACAGGCAGCTAAACACAGTCTTTCCCCGTGTTTGAGGATTCTGCGGGGGCCAGCTTTAGCAATACATTTTTGAAGTGGGGAGAACCACAATTCCCCTTTTTCCTGGTACAGAGAGTTCTACTCTCAGGGTCCATTCATTTAGCTCTCTTACCTGGGAGCAACATGCCTGTTTTCTCTTAGGAACATGCATGCAGCACTAAGCCTCTTCTCTGTTTCTCTGAAAATCAACCAGCTTTCAGAAATCACATTCTGTGCTTTAAATTTTGCAGGAATGAACCCCCATGGGGATTCTACATTTGCCCAGCTTCCCCTATCACTAGTAGATACTGAATTCAGCTTTGAAATCTGACAAAGCCCACTTGTCTGCAGATGAAAGTTAGGTTCTCCCATTCATTTTTCATGAGTAAAAAAGAAGGTACTTTGCTTTTCATTGCTTGACTCCTTAGTCTAGCTCCCAGCTCATTCTGGACTTGCCGGGGAAGGAAACTGCCATGTATTCAACACCTATTTCTGGTGCCTAACCTAGTATGGGAGGCTCTTAGAAATTTTCTGGGGAAAGTAGTATTTAACATAAAATGTGAAAAACAAGGAATTTTCCAGGCAAAGAGGAAAGAATATAGTGGCATAGATTAAAAAAAAAAATCAAATCACATAAAAGGGCTGGGAGCTGAGAGCTAAAGTATGTAAGGCTCAAAGAGCTGAAAGTTCAGTGTAGATGGAGCGTGAAATAGGGGGATGGGAAGAATGGGCATCCCAAGAGGCAGGCCTGGAAAAGGGGGTGGGATGGTTGTGTCATAGATTCAATTATACATGTGAGCTACTCATTTGAACCAGAGGAAACTACCTTTATTTGCTTATAAGCTTTTCTTGGTGAAACAAACATATCAAAGTACACAGATTATTTTTTGCTATTTGTTTACTAGCATTGCTCATCACTGTCATTGGGATGTATAGGTAAACTTACCAAAAGGTGATGTCATGTCTCCCTGAGTAGATTCTGAGGTTTTCTTTTGAGTCCAGTTGT